ATGAATACTGTGAAAAAGATTGATATTTAGATGAAATTAAGGGAAACAAAGGTAGGCCATAGATAGGGCTATATATAGGTAGGTTTTCAGCACACCCACTACTACTACTACTACTACTCCTACTTAATACTACTTCTATTAATAATAAATTACACTATAATAAAATCTACACTTTATACATACATGCACATACATGTATAAAGTTTTAATATGAGAACTTTCAAAACATCACAAGTATATCTATAAATTCCAAATTGTACTTTGTGCGATTTTTTGTTTATAATACACTCAACAAAATTGAGCAACTTAATTGGGACTCTACAGAGTACAGTTTGGTATTTAATTGTACTCCTCTTGTCCAATCAAAATCGAGTAATTTTGTTCAGTTTATTGTCATAAGATAAACTTTTTTTCCAGGTTCTAAATTGCCCTTCCTTCTTTTTTTAGTGTATGCAGCACAATGTGACAATTCTGGGTAAGTCTGCTTTAATAATATAAAATGATTGAATGAAATTGTGGGAATGCGTAGTTCCAGAAATTATCCCAACTCCACTTACCCCCACAGAGGAATTTTTTTCAGACCCCCTCCCAAAAAATCAGGACAATTCATTAAGCTCTCAGTCTCTAATATGCTCACTCTGGAAAAACATCCCTGGAAGGCGCTTTCCTAGAGGAATTGTTTTGGGGGACAAAACAGTAGGCTGTCTTTTCTTATGCAAAAAAAACATCCATTGTTTTGTCTCCCAGAACAATTCCTTTTGGGACTCTGTGTAAGAGGGGTCTATAGGTTATATAGGCTTTACATCATCACCAGTTATTACAGGAGAAACCGAAGAATCTGGCTTGATCTGATTTACACGAGAAAGAATTTAGTTTCCCAGGAGGAAATGATTATTTGGCTGCCATCATGTGATGGTGCAAAGCCTCTATATAAGATTGTTATAGAGATTTTATTGTGGAGTCGTTAATGTTAAGGAATTAAACTTTCCTAAAAAACATTTTCACATTTTATTTTCAGTTTCATTTTATTTTCATCATAACAAGTTCCACATAACCTGAGGTGTGTCTTACATCCACCTTTGGGAATTTGATCAAWGGAAGACAAGAAACCCAGAAGTCTTGGGCTCTGTTGTTTGGGTATGTTGTTTAAAGACAAAACAATAAAAAGACTATTCACCATTTTCCATTCATCGGTTCACTGGTCAAACACAAAGCATTCATTCACCATTCTCCATACATCAGTTCACTGGTCAAACACAAAGCATTCATTCACCATTCTCCATACATCAGTTCACTGGTCAAATACAAAGCATTCATTCACCATTCTCCATACATCGGTTCATTGGTCAAATACAAAGCACTTAGTCGAGGCTGCAAGGTTCAAATTTGAATAACGGAACCCTTTGAAAGTACCTTGGCGCCTGGCTTTAGTGCTTTACGCGTTTGACCAGTACACCAGTTTAAAGAGAAGGTTATACACTGTTTTCATAATGGCTGACAAGCGCACCAAAACGAGGTCACCCAGTCATCTTGCAAGGCTGAACAAGGCTGCTCATTCAAAATAAAGGTGGATAGCGCGAATTCAGGTCAAAGCAAAAAGTCAATTTCTATACATTTCTTTACTTTCCTTCTATAAACGCATTTCATGTGCTTTTATTTCTTCTATCGTAAACTAAAGACTGGTTGACCTCGTTCTTGTGCACTTGTCAGCCATTATGAGAACGGTGTATTTGAAGTGCACTTCTTGGGGTCTTTTGTCTGTAGTCAAACTATTTTTGATGTACGCCACCAACCAACAATCCTCATGGAATAAAGGTCTTCCAAGGTCTCTACACTGGTCCAGTTTATCACTTGTGTCTTGCCATCGTCGATTGAGAGTTTTGACAACATAGTTGATGTCATGTGCAGAGTCTTCTTCAATGGCTGGGTGTAGCTGCTTGGTCAAAGTGTTGATCTTGTCCATGTAGCATTGCTTGATGTCACGTTCTTCGCATTTGACCTGTGATGTAACAAGAATGAATATCATGGTTAGTTGTTTTAGTTTTCTGTTGATGCTTTCCCCACTCTTTTGTAGTTAGTTTTTAATTATTTGTTTAATTGTTTTTCTTTTCTTTGTGTTGTTGTTTGTCTTTAATTCCTTGTCATTTTTTGTCTTTCTGTTTGTTTGTGTTTGTATATTTACTTGTTTGTGTTGATTTGTTTTTCCTTGTTTTTGTTTTATTTCTTTTTAATTTGTTTGTATTTATTTGATTCTGTGTTTTTGTTTAAGCTTTTCCTTGTTTGTGTTTTATTTTTGTTTGCATTTATTTGTTGTTTTTTTTTTTGTTTCTTTGTGTTTTTGTTTTAGTTTCATTGTGTTGTCTGTTGCGTCGTTTCATTGCGTTTTTGTTTGCATACTCATACACTTATTTCAATAAAGTTAGTCACCTGAAAAGCTACAAAGCTGAGACCG